CGCGGATCCTCGCCGCCGCCGCCCTGCCTCTCGCCACCCGACTCGCCCGCCTCCCTCCCACGGCACACCAGGCAAGGTCTCGCGGCACATTAGTGTGCTGCGGAACACCGGTTGGGAAACACTGAACTAGAGACCTATAAAAGCTGGGCTCCCATCAAGGCTGTTTGGATGATTGCTTATGAAGTCATGAACAAGTCCTGGAGCAAAACACTTTATTCCCTCATCCCCTATTGTGCACCACCTTCAGAACAAAGACCATGGCTAGTATTAAACCAGAGTTCTTTGTTAATATCTGGACTAAGGAACTCTGGCCTAACCATGATTAACAAACCAGGAAAATATGTCAGAGTCTTCCCCCAGACTTTTCTGTAAAACTCTATTCAGCAACCAGTTCTAGCTATTTCCTCTGCAATCTGATTTTCCCACTCAATATTTCACTTTTCACAGCCCTGTATCAAGAGAAATAAGCCTTGCAAAACCCCAAGGTGCTATGATTTTACAAGCCACAGTGTTATTTACCTCCAAATCAATCATGTCTCGGGGGAACGGCACCTCTGGATTCTCGCCGGTGTCTGTGATGGGAATGTTGGCCTTCTTAATCTCCTTTTCCACAAACCCTAAAAAGGGGGAGAACTGCAATGAGGGGATGATTTAAGAAGAGCATGTAATATCATATACGTGAGAGAAGGCCTCATGGATCTGCATACCTCCCTTGTGCAACTGATCGTCTGATGCCCCATTCCACCAGACCACACAAACACCTCCACTATGAACATCTCTTCTCACTTAAATAATCTACAAAATGATAGTTTAAAAATCACAGGTCAAAGAAAGTAGATTACTACCATATAATTTTTTTGTTCTGATTTCATGATAGTAGAATGGATGCAGCATGCCTTAATAAGTAACAATTGCTTGAGGACTAGATAATCACATGTCACTCTCCCCAGACCTATACTAAGGAATTTTGACCTTATGGGTTCATTTCCACACAATAAGGACATCTTATACTTTTGCTAGCTGCTACTGGAATCTATTTTCCTTCTATTTTATCTGTTATGCTGCTAACTATCATGTCACGTTATATATCATATTCTCGTGGTTTGGATCCTGTTCTAATTTCTGCAACAATGTACAATATGCAGATTATTTAGCATAGCCACAGAAATCTGGGGAGAGGTTTAAAGCATCCCAGACTGATTTAGCCCCATCAGCCTATGCCAGGCATAGGCAAACTCGGCCCTCCAGATGTTTTGGGACTACAACTCCCATCATCCCTAGCTAACAGGAACAGTGGTCAGGGATGATGGCAATTGTAGTTCCAAACATCTGGAGTTTGCCTATGCCTGGCCTATGTACATGCAAGAGAAAGCAATGACATACTAAGTTTCCTGTCCATCTCTTCACACCTCCGGACTTCATTGACAAATTTACGCTGGAACACATTCACATCAGGGTTTAGCTGTCAATAAGAACAAAACATAATTTCTATCACATGTGTGCAATGACTGAAAACCAGTTGCTGCCCGTCTCCAAACCCTTCTGTACCATTAACTATATTGGTGTGATGTCACAGAAAGCTCATGAACATTTTAACTGTTCAAAGAGAAAATGCAAAGGATTGCTACCTGATCATTAAAAGGTCTATAAAGAGCCCATTTGTTGGTTCCACCACCCTCAGAAGTTCAGAGAGCAGTGGCAGCCCAGGAGAGGGCATTCTCTGCAGCAGCCCCTTTGTTATAGAATTACCTATCTACAGTGGTGAACCTGGCACCTTCACTGTATGATTTTTGTTGTATGCTGCAGACATACCTCTTTCGCCTGGCCTTTGACACTTGAAATATTTTCAGGACCCATCCTATTCTTGTGGTTGTAATTTGTTTCACACTGTTTCTAATACTTTATTTTTAAATTGCTGTAACCTGTACTAGGACCTTATGATGAAGGCAAGCATGAAATTGAATACTTGATCATTGTAGGGCACGGAACAATCACTCACAACAAAAGGCAGCAACATTGATAGTTAATACCTTCACAGAATCCAAAGATGCTTCAGTTATATCCTAGTATGGGGGGGGGGACCCTTGAGCATAGGTAACAGTTGTCACAAACAGCAACACAATAAATTGTGTGGACCAACAGGGCCAGATACATACATCTCGAAACTGGACCTTCCCAAGTTCTCCCAGTTCACTGACACAGCAATAGGCTGCTTCAGACTGAAGGAAAAGTTGCGCAAGGGTCATTTCTTCACTCCGGAAGAGCTCCCCCATAGTGAGAGAGAACAGGCAGGCAAACTAGGGTGAGAATCCTTTTGCCTTTAAGAGAAAGAAAAAGGAGGATAAATGTAAGACTCACCAGAAAGGTATCAATTCTGTTATCTACCTTTTGGGGTACATGGAAGGCATATATTGTAGATTAATTTATATATCTCTCACGGAGATTGAAAACTAGGACTGGAACACCTCAAACTGAATAAGAGAAGAGCATAAAAATTCTGAAAATATTATGTAAGGATTGTAAAAAAGGAAAGCCTACTCCATGGTGTCTCATTTTTATGTGCCACACACAACTAACCCCTACTATGCAGCACTCTGAATTTCACCTTTCAGTTCCAGCTAATGCTTCATGACCAGCTGCCCATCATGTGGCACCTCTGCAAGCTGCTGCCCCAGAAACACAAGCAGCAGCCTATCAGCTGACAGCCATCTCCAGGGAAAAACTGTTACATAGCACTGCAGCAGATTTAGCTGGTTGCATAGGGATTCAGAGCTTATTTTTACTAAGGGATGGGAGAACATCCGGATGTCATAGTCCACAGGCATTATCCAGTGAAAGTAAAGTCTCATTGGTTTTGCAGTCTCCTCAGTCATGCTGATAAAACAGAACGTGAGCCACTAATGTCAGGCTTGAGACATAAATGCCACATCAGAATGATATGGGCCTAATCAGAGTCCAGAAATATTTCAATTTATTAACATATAAATGCAGATTTTTTTTAAAAAAGTGAATCATTTTTTGATCTGCTTGGAAAGTCTTTTTCAAACAGTTGAGGCAAAACACTATGTAGAGATTTATCCAGTCCATACTTTTGTCTTGCTTGCTACTGATGCTGTAAGCATTTAATGCATCAATGATTGGAATGGTGTTGCTACTGTCCACTTGGTTTTTGATCAGTGGGCAAAAGAGAGGTAATTGGGAAATACATGTGAAAATATAGCTTGCTATAATATAGTATAGATCAGAGCTTCCCAAACTGTGCGTCGGTTGCAGTGTGTAGGTGTGTTGCGCAAATGGACCCCACACTCCAACCAGGGCTGGAAAGGAGTTAGCTTAATCTCCAATTTGCTAGTAAAACTGAATTACTGTGTTGTGAAATGATGCATGTCTAAAAAGTGTGTCACCAACATGAAAAGTTTTGAAAGCTCTGACATAACTAATTCAATGAAAATAACACACGGACGCTACTGCTCACTGATGGCTGAGCAGCAAGAGTTAAAAATCAACAGACATTATCCATGCTGAATGCTAACAATTACTGAGACTAGGAGCCTTTCCAAAAAATAAACTACAAATTAACTCTGGCATCTTACTCCAATAAGCCACTCAACAAGAGATGGGGGCATTGCAAGGGCACCACAGCAGCAGTATGACTGAACTTTGAGCTTATCTGCCCAAATGCCTGACAAATTTGTAAGGCCCAACTCCAAGAAAAGTTGCAATTATTATTTTATACAAGCTAAGGTGCAGCAACCGAATCAAATGTCATGCTTGATTACATGCTTTCACGTCAGAAGGGTAGCATTAATGTATTAATAAAGTTAGTAAGTGCTGGATGACAGGAATCTAAAGAATCCTTAAGACTAGAATCCCCATTTCAATTTATTGTCTCTTGAGCTCCCCCACCTCAGTTTTTTTAAAGTGAAGTACATTCTTTCCCCTTTGCAGAACTCTCCATTCTTGTAACTGACTTTAATGCATCTCTTTGATGTGCCAGAGCCCATTTTCACTCAACCCCATCAAAACTTGGGCAATTTCTTTTTATTTCACCCCCTTAGTGAGCAGGAATGTGCCTTCCATCTTCTTATACCTAACACAAAGGCAGGAAGCTGCTGTCACCCCACATTACAACATGAACAGCGACCCCCATCCCTCCCTAAAGAGGGAACAGATGACAAACAGCAGGAGACATCTACTTCTCAGAAACAAATGGGTTAGCAAGTGGCTCCTCCATCACCATCCCATCATCTTATCCATTCAGCGCCGCCTGCCCACAAGAAGGCAACGCCCCAGGTATCACTCCCAACATTAAACCGGCCTCCTCCCCACACTCTTAAACGTCCCCACAGGTTCTGGAGAGATCCCTCTCCTCCTTCTCAAAGGCACCCATGGGAGAAACCAGCTCGCCCCCTGGGGCGCTCCTGAAACCCAATGACACCCCCACACATTCAAATATAATACCTTCTGCTTCCCCCTCCCACAAGGGGACCTTGGATTAGGCGACCTACCCGCCTAAACTGACCCACCAACGCAGCCGGGCTGCCCCTTGTCTCCCCTCACTGGCCCTCAGCGGAGTATCACGCGCCCCACTCCCACAACCGCAGAGGACAGGGCAGACCCTTCCCCTCCTCCACTAGGCCCCGCGCTCTCCCATGACGCATTGCGTTGCTTCCCCGTATTAACCGCCTTTCAACGCCCCCCGCCGCGCCGCCTCCCCCACCCCCCGCCCCGCACCTTGGAAAGGGCTTCGCCGACGCAGACCTTTAAACGCCGCACCAAAAACAAGCCGCAGCACCTGCTCCGACAAAGCGGCAACCAACCCACCCCCCCACCAGCTTCCGCTGATGACGCCACTGCGTAGGTGCGCGGCGCCCGCCTTCCCTTCTTCCGCCCGGCCGGGTGGTGTTGCTTAGCAACAGGGCCCGCGCCGGCGTGGTGCGTTCGGGCAAGGTTCGCTGGTTTGCCTGCCTTAAGTGGCCGCCATTTTGGCGACCGCTTTCGTAAATCGCGGCGGCGGCGTGCCATGGCCGGTGACGTCACGCCCTGGGTTTTTTGTGATCGTGGCGGTTGAAAGGGTTCGCCTCAGAAAATGATTTCTTTACCCCCCACCCCCACCCCCTGCTCCTGTGACTGATGTATCTCGAAGGGTGTGTGCCTGGAACAACACAAATGGATTCAAGTTACAAGAAAGGAGATTCCGAGTCAGCATCAAGACGTGCTTTCTGAGAGTAAGAGCTGTTCGACAGTGGAACAGACTCCCACGAGAGATGGTGGACACACTCCTTCCTTCCTTCATGGGAGATTTTAAAGCAGAGGTTGGATGGCTGTCTGTCATGTATGATCTAGTTGAGATTCCCGCATTGCAGGAATTTAGACCTGCAGGATCCTTCCCAACTCTACAATCCTATGATTCTCATTGATTCATAATTATCAGGGCTGTTACCTGGTAAGAGATTAGTTGTACAGTGGTACCTCAGGTTAAGTACTTAATTCGTTCCGGAGGTCCGTACTTAACCTGAAACTGTTCTTAACCTGAAGCACTTTAGCTAATGGGGCCTCCTGCTGCTGCTGCGCCACCAGAGCATGATTTCTGTTCTCATCCTGAAGCAAATTCTTAACCCGAGGTAATATTTCTGGGTTAGCGGAGTCTGTAACCTGAAGCGTATGTAACCTTAAGCGTATGTAACCCAAGGTACCACTGTGCTGAGTTTCAGCTGATTAATTAGAGATCCAGGTTTTTTGGGGGGTTTTTTTGCGTTAACTAAGTGGCCAATTCACTAAACATTGCCATCCTACTAAATTCTTTATAGCGTAAAGAAAAGTAGGAAAGTCCCAAAAACATGTGCATCATTGTAAATCGCACTGGGGCAAAGGAAAACGACTGCCACAATGTTTAGGGAGATCTGAAGTAATTTCCCTGTGAGGAAAAGCTACAATGTTTGGGAGCTTTTTTGGTTTAGAAAATAGCAGATTAGAAGTGTTACGGAAAAATCTAGGTGGCTTATGCTGTGGAGAAAGTGTTCAGGGAGAAAATCTCCTCATACTAGAATGTAGAGTTTTAACAACAGAATCCAATGAAACGGAGCGGTGGGAGCTTCGGGACAGAGAAACGCACACTTCTTGACCGCAAGGTATAGTGATTGCTGCTGACTTGGGTGGTTTTAAAGGGGGGACTGGACAAGATAAGGCTATACATTGCCTACTAGTCATGATGGCTATATTGCTCCCAGAATTGGAGGCAGTGTTCCACTAAACACCAGTTACTGGGAAGAATTCATATCCTTGTTGATTTCCCATAGGCAGGGCCGGCCCACCACTCATGAGGCAAGGTGAGGTGACCACCTCAGGCAGCAGGATTCACTGGAGCAGCAGATCCCACTGTTGAGCTTTCTCCCCCCTCCTTCCTGCCCTTCTTCTTGAGATGGCCCTTCTTCCTCACTCCTTCCTTGGCAGAGAAGGGGGTGCCATTTTGGGATCTGCCTTGGGTGCCAAAATATATTGAGTCAGCCATGGCCATCAGTATACCGTCATACCTTGGGTTGAAGTTGCTTCGGGTTGTGCTCCGCGGCGACCCGGAAGTAACGGATCACGTTACTTCCGGGTTTCACCGCATGCGCAGATGGTCAAAATGATGTCACGCACATGCATAGAAGAGGTGAATCGCGCACGTGCAGATGCGCAGACGCGGGTTGCATTCGCTCCTGGATGTGAACGGGGCTCCGGAACGGATCCCATTCGTATCCAGAGGTACCACTGTACAGTGGTTCCTTGGTTCTTGAATGGCTTAGTTGTCGAACAAATTGGCTCCCGAACACCACAAACCCAGAATTAAGTGTTCCAGTTTGCAAATGTTTTTCGGAAGCTGAACATCCGCTTGAGTGCAGGAAGCTTCTGCAGCCAATCGGAAGTTGCACCTTGGTTTTCGAACTGTTTTGGGAATCAAATCGACTCCCGGAACGGATTAAGTTTGAGAACCAAGGTACCACTGTATTGGTAGTTTTACGATAAGTGAAGAGAGCAATAAATATAAAGTGTTTGGTCTGCTGCAGCAGGTATCTTCCTAATGATAAGGTTAACTCTGTCTCTTGATGCTGTACAGCTCAGGTTTTAATTCTCGCCCCCCCCCATTTTGCCACCATTTCCCTCCAGTCTTATCAATCGTTTGGCATCAAAAGGAGGCCATGTCCTTCTCCTGGTGAGTCCGTACAGGCCCCCAACCAGAAATAATAAGAATATTTATATAGCATGGCTCAGATGCAAAGCTACTGCACAATCATCTGGTTAGTCTCCTGCATAAAAAGCTCGTGTTTCCTGTGGGGAATTGGGTAACATAGGCCTTGTTAAGGTGCAGGACAGAAATCCCCCCCCGGGAGAAACTATGGAAGCTGTAAAAGTGAGGGAAGTCCACAGAGACGGAATGCAATACAGAAAGGAACAAAAGATCACTTAATTTTCTGTGCATTTGGAGATGCCTGAAGACCTGTAGGCAAAAGGACTTCTTTGTGCTATGAGTAGAATTTATTTTTATTACTCTTTTTGTCCTCGTGGTTGCTTTTGTTCATTGGGGGGCATGGTGCCTAACAGCAGTACAGTGAGGAGAAATTAGTAGGTGCAGCTTCTCCAGCCCTTCCTCGTGAGCAAAGCTTTGTAGGTTGAATTTCTGCCTGTCATGAACCTGTAAAGGGTACAGAGTTTCTGTCAAAAAAAAAGCTTTAAATATTTTTTTGTATCTTAGATTTTTATCCAGCTGCTTCTCAGAGGAGTTTAGGGTAATAATGTGCACTGTGTGTGTGTTTCTCCCCAAACCTGTGAAATAGGTTAGGTTGAAAGTATTACGAGGTCAAGATTACTCAATGAGCTTTGGGGTTTAGCAGACTTTAAACCCAATTCTCTCCAGACCTAGTTGTATACTTAGTACACTATAACCTTTGGAGAGGGAAGGTTTATATTTTTTTTTTGTAATGCTTGCACATTAAGGCATAAACATCTAAAGTTCTCATCCAACAGTGTTTTGTGGTGTGTGTGTTTTTGTAAAAATGTTGCAGCCTTCTAATCAGCAAAGAGACTTCTAGAGCTTTTTGTAAACATTCTGTACTTTGACAAACATTTTAAAGTCCATACATTTTCCTCATATAGTGGCTCACGTCCAAAACAGCACAAAACTCTAACCGTTTTGGAGCATCTCTGAAGCAGATGTCATATGAGTAATATGGGCAAATGCCCTTGCTTTGCTCCTGCTTGAAATAGAGACTTTTCATGCAAAACTGACTCATCACCCTCAAACACTGGAAACATTTGTTTTTCCTCTGCTCAGGCGTGCCTTGGGAAATATTTTTCTATAAAATGGTCTGCTATTTTCAACATATGGCAAAAAAAAAAAACAACCAAACAGGAGGGGCCATTGTTTCCACTTTATGAACGATGTGTGGGATAATGTGATAAAAATGAAATTGTTCACTTGAGGGTGGGGGATGCTGGTCAAATTGACTGCCAGCAAATCTCCTGTGTAGTTTAGAATGCTCTTTGGTATGGAAGCAGCTCTCCTGGCTCAGGCAGGTTTTAATGGGCGTTTCCAAGGACTGAATTTGAGACTGCCTGCTTGCAAATGCAACTGAAGTACCCATGAGCTGTGGTCAGGAGGTTGGAGAATGCTGCTGAGTTATCTGGGTACACGAGGAGAGCGACTGAATTTCTAATGTATTCCTCTGCATGCTTGATGAAAGCATTGTGATGGGAAAAACAAAGGCATGCAGACTATGCTGCTTCCTACATCTCCACCCCGAATAAGAATAATCCAGAAAGTTTTGCCAAATGCACCTTGCAAAATGTTGGTGTGTTTGTGTGCATGCTTTTCTGTTTGTCTGCCAGTCAGGCAATCTTTATTTGTATACAACCATAGGTCATTAAAAAGCAAAGCCTGAATTAGACAACCAGCAACAGAGATATACAAATAACCTTCCTAAAAATATTCATGCGTTATTTTACGGTTCAAGAAAACAAGGCATCATGGTTAGAAATATGAACAGATTTGCCAAAGGGCAGCAAATTGATCAGCTTATATTCAGTGACCTTGCTCACATTTGTATCACAAGAGATGTGACAGTCTGGAAAAAAAGTGGTGGTGGAGGGTTTGTTCCATTGTTTCTGGGTCCCCACATCTCGAGGCCTGGCTACTCAAATAATGCCAACTTATAGGTAACTTATTTGGCTAGTTCTGATACCAAAAACAACTTTTTTAAAGCTTCTGTTAATCTAGGTGTACTTTTTAATGATCTACCTGTATGGTTTTATCCAGTAATGGATAAAAATGTGGAAGGATCATAATTCAGGGATAGAGCCCATGTTTCGCATTCAGAAGATTCTAGAGTCGGTCCCTGGCATTTTCAGTAGGGCTGTCCCTGCCAATCGGTGCAAACAATATTGAGCTAGATGGATCAATAAACTTGCTCCATATTAGGCAGTATTCTCTGTTCACAAAGATATATTGAACAAGGAGTGTGGTGGAGTCTCCCTTCTTTGAGGTCTTACACGCAGAGGTTGACAACCATATGTCACGGAGTCGCTCGATGTGTTTCCTGCTGGCAAGGGGTTGGACTCGATGGCCCTTGTCGGTCTCTTCCTCTATGATTCTATGATCTATGATTCAATGTTCACCTAAACTGTATTTAGGCCATGTACACAATAACTGCTGATTGATTAAGGCTTGAGAATCTTCTATCATTTCTATCAAGATGTGCCACTGCTTGAAATCACAATTGGATGAGAACAGAAAACTGCCTAGTATTAATACATGAAACTACGTTTACTGAATGATTTTATGCAAGCAGATAATACCATTTGGCAAAGCAAATAGTTTGAATGGTTCTCAGTTTTAAACAGGAGCATTTAACAGAAGGATTTTATTTTCTTAGCACTTTAGTCCACAGTTTTCTACACCTCAGGAGACAATCGTACTCCAAAATTAATGCTGTTGGAGTTCGATCTATTTCTTGAAATGCTGACAACTGCAGCATATGAAAGCTGTTTATTTCAACTTCAAGCAAGTAAACGTTCCACTGAGAATTTGAGGGAGGGGGTAATTATCTGGCAATTTCTGTAATTGCAGCCAATAAAGAATGAATGCCAGGCCTGCCTCCATTCTCAGTACAGCAGCTGGTACACTGCCTGGTAAACATAAGAGTTGTTGGAAATTTATTCTGGATTACGTCTAGAGTACATAGATTCTGTAGACGCAACATCTGTAGCATATATATAATTGGAACTGTAGTCAATCTCAGAAATCTCAATACTTGAGAGCACCAAATTTATTCCATTTCTTTTTGAAAAAGCCAGATGCCATGTAAGCAAACCAGCAAGCCCAAATGAAAGCTCAAATTTCTCTCCTGTCAAATGACTGCACACCATATGAATCCCTCGGGCCTCATCATTGCCATCCCCATGCAGGGCACCAGATTGCAGGGCACTAGATCGTTGAGGAGGCATTGGATCAGGCATAGGCAAACTCCGGCCCTCCAGATGTTTGGGACTACAATTCCCATCATCCCTGACCACTGGTCCTATCAGCCAGGGATGGTGGGAATTGTAGTCCCAAAAAATCTGGAGGGCCGGAGTTTGCCTATGCCTGCATTGGATGCACAAAGGGAAAGCACTCTATATGTGATCAGAAGCTCTTCGGTCTTAGTTATGTTTTCAAAAGTATTTTTTCCTTGTGAGGGTGCAGGAGAAGAGTGCATACTTGGAGCTACTCAGTCCTACATGCCAGAATATTTATAAAGAAAAGGTCACAAGTATTCAGCAGTTACGACTTGTACAGTACAGTAGTTACATTTTCTGTGGGGGAGTTGGGAGAGTTGGCATGGAGTTCTGTAAAACTTCAAGGACCTAGAGGCAGTAATTTCTGCAGACAGCATAACTTCCTCTGACTTTAGTTACCATTCCAAAGTGTGTGTGGGTCTTTGGTCAGATGCCAGCCATAGGTGAGGTGCATCATTCTGCTGAGATGTGCAGCAGAAACAGTGATTATGAAGTTATTTGCTTTGAGCATGGTGCCTCGGGTGTTTTGTCCAGATTTAAAATCAAATGAGGCTGTGTTGAGATATTCCCCAGTAGGGTTGTTCTCACCATTGTGGTGGCCAGAGGACTGACCCATGCTAGGGTTTGTTGACAGCAGCAGTTCATTCTATCTGATATCTGTTGTGGAGCTGGGATGCGGACCTGGAGCCTAATGTGCAATGGGTAGGTGCTTGCTGTATTGTACTTATGCTGTCCTATGCTACACTGACTGTGCACATAGCAGTTTACATAAGGGAACCCAGCAAGCTTCATAGTAGCTGACTAAGGATGTGAACTTTGGATTCCCCACATCCAAGCCGTATGCTGTGACACTGCACTGTCACCAGCTCTCACATTTTGTTGTCTCCTAAGGAGAGGCTAAGGTGCAGAACACCAAGATACGTAGATAGGACCAAAAAAACCACCCAGCTTTATCAGATTCGCTTGCAAAACAGCTAATACTGTTATTTTGCTTCACACTGGGATACTATTACTGTATATGCTGGAAGTTAGGTTTTTCCCCATGAAAGGGCCTATTCCTTTCTTGATTATTTGGAACAGACATTGGTATTTTCTTCCCTTTGGTTATACCACAGAAAGGCAAAATTAGAAGCTGATGCCAGGAAGATGTTGCCCTTTCATCAAGCCTATTGCATGTGCCTACTTCTGTTCCTTAAAAAAAATAAATTACTTTGCTGATATATTTTTATTATTTTATTTTATGCCCCTTGGGAGGCTTTTGCCAAAAGGCAAACTGTCTCAAACTTTATGGAACAAAGGTGGTTTATGAATGTAATTAATACATAATAATCTACATTTAAAAATAAAAACAGGGCCTGCCGCCTTCATTGACTGCACCAGAAAACAGCCAGAATCATCCTTAGATAGGCCCTTTGCATCGGATTCACAATCAGGATTTGATTTTTCACACTGCAGAATATGGCAACTGTTGCTTATGGGCATGGGTAGGCAAACTAAGGCCCAGGGGCCAGAACCAACCCAATCGCTTTCTAAATGCGGCCCGTGGACAGTCCAGGAATCAGTGTGTTTTTACATGAGTAGAATGTGTGCTTTTATCTAAAATGCATCTCTGGGTTATTTGTGGGGCATAGGAATTCGTTCATTATTAATTTTTTTCGAAATATAGTCCAGCCCCCCCACAAGGTCTGAGGGACAGTGGACCAGCCCCCTGCTGAAAAAGTTTGCTGACCCCTGCTTATGGGCATGGTTGCCACCTGCAGCAGATAGTGTGCTCATGATCTTCCCTTGCCTACTCCCTCCGCATTATATACCAAATAACTCTCCTTTTAATTCAGATTGGGTTTCTGAAGTGCATCTGAGCTGAATGTGCCTGCTCTTGCGATCACATCTCTGCAGTATAAATGTGCTCACTAACACAGCCAGTTGTGCTTGGTGAGTGATCCAAGCCACACGTGCCCTAAACTGTCACTCTGTGACTTTAAAAGGAAACGCTCAACTTTGTGCAGGTCTGGCTGAAGACAGGGATCCCTTTGGGTTTGTCCCAGCCACACTTAAACATTTGCAGTTCTGTTCAGGGCTGTCAGTTTCTCATCAGCAGCTTTGCACAGAGCTTGTTTTGTTTTGTCCCCTGCCGCCACCGCCCTGGATTCCCCAGAAATCTTGCTAGGAATCCCTGCCTTCGTCCTGTCTATTAAAATCAGAGGCTGTTGAAGTTTGGAGTGCTGCATTCCTCTGCGAGTGAGCGAGCGAGCGAGCGAACCCTGCCTGTGCTCGCATGCTAAAGCCGTTGCCTCCTCTCCAACTATTTTAATCATTTCAGAAAAAAAGGGGTGGGTCTGCCAGGCATTTGGCAAGAGGCTCCTTTCCTCCAGTTGAGGTGGAGTCAGCCAATGGCCTGGAAGCTTGGAAAATTTTGCAGGACAGTTTCTCCGGACAGCTTTGCAAGGGTTGTGCCATTTCAATTGAAGCACACATCCACACACTGCGCTCTTGGCTTCTGGCTCGCCTCCCAGATCTGAGAGATCTCAGATTCAGCCTCGCCTTCTCTCTCTCTCTTGTCCCTGCAGTGTCAAACTTCTCCAGGCTCTGCTAGTCAGGACTCCTGAGCAACCATGGCAGACACCACCCTCCAGATCGTCGAGCAGCCAACAGTCTCTGAGGCCTCGGAGGAGCCAGCAGGTGAAACCGAAGAACCCATCAAATCTGACCAGATCAATGGTGTTATGGTTCTTACCCTTCTGGACAAGATCATCGGAGCTGTTGATCAGATTCAGCTGACCCAGAGTCAGCTGGAGGAAAGGCAGCAGGAGATGGATGGGGTGGTGTCCAGCATCCAAGGGGAGCTCGCTAAGCTCACGAAGGCCCACTCCACCACCAGTAATACGGTCAACAAGATGTTGGAGAAGGTCCGCAAGGTCAGTGTCAACGTCAAAACTGTCCGGCAGAACCTGGAGAAGCAAGCTGGCCAAATCAAGAAGCTGGAATCTAATGAGGCAGAGCTGCTGAAGCGCAGGAACTTCAAAGTCATGATCTACCAGGTAAGGCACCTTTTGATCTCTTCTGCTTGTGTCTTTTTCAGTTGGTGCATAAGACCGTCCAGCATGATGGCGCCTCTTGCCTTCTATATGGGGCTTCCCAAGATTCCCATGCTACAACACGCCATATATAGGATATTCAGGACTTGCGTCATCACTGGAATCCTAAAGAGAACAAATGTATTGCCCAAGATTTCACGAAGATTCCAGAGTTTGCCTTAAATGCTACACCAGTGCAAACTTTGCAGGAATTTGCCAAAGAACCGTAGAGGGAGCCAGGGGTGGGGTGGGGGGAATAACCTGTTGTCTCGTGGCAGTAGAAAGCCGACCAGTGTCCTTAAAGCTACAAAGCCTGGAAATCCTTTTTTCGGTTTGTAAAATGTGCTTATTGGGGCAATCATTTGGGAAAGTAATCTGCACATTTTCACTGTTGTCTATTAGAGAAGTAGCATTGCAGGGAGCACACTCCTACTCTGCGGGTTTGGTGCTAAGTCAGAGCTCTCTGTCCCTTGGGTTTGTGCTTGCTACTTTCCCTGCAAAAGTAAATCTGATGCAGTGTGGGTTACAGATTCTTTTAGCCCTGACCTTTCAGGCCCTGGAGCTTTTTCACCACTTCAGTGAGAGGTTGCTTTGTTCTGCTGTTTGCAGTCCTCTTTCTAACACGTTTGCTGGCTAGCCTTACAGACCTCCTAATATCAAACAGTTCAGAATAGGCAGCTCTGAACCATGCTTCCTATTCTGTGGTGGTCTGGCCTTTAATACCTGTGTTGGAGGAGAAGTGGGACATTATGAGATAGGTTGCCCTGTCCTGTAGGGACAAACACACAGACACACACACACACACGGCTTAGGACAGAAAACCTGCAAAAATGTAGCTGCGTTTCTTACTATCGCAACATGAAAGGGGATCTAGTTATGTCTGGTTGAGGAATCTGGCAAGTAGCTGACGGATATAGCCCTCTGATTCACGGCTTGAGCATTCTCAATTATATCATGCCTCAAAGGCGGGAATACTCCAGTATATAAGGGTTGTGAACACCACCAAACCAGATTTATAAATACACTTTATCGGAAGCCTTGTAGATTATGCTGAGGGAATTTCAGGCCCCACCAGTAGGAAAATTGTGCAGGAGTGAGGAGAGAGAAATGGAACATGCAGCAGCCAACGGAGGAGTGAATAGAAAGGAAAATCTGTCTGTGCTGTTTTACTTTTCAGGGCATTTTGCAAATATGAACACAGATACTATTTTGGTTGAGATATTTCCTCTCCCCTTTCACTGGAGTCTAAACAGTTATGAGGCGGTGGCAAAATGCTTTTGGGTTTTTGTGGAAACCAGATCAGCAACCTGATCTTGAATAGGTTCTTGAACAGTGGAGCCTGGGGTTCCAAGTTGTGAAGGTGCAGGGATAGTAAACTTTGGACTCCGTAAAGCACCTTTAGGGTCTGGTTCCCCTAGAATGAACTCAATAGGGAACATGGGTGTGGTTCTGTTAGATGTTGGGTTACTGTGGTGCAGTATAGTGGTTAAGGGAATGAGCCAGGAGCTAGTTCAAATTGCAGCTCATCCCTGGGGGAACTAGGTGACAGTGCACAGGTTACAAACCTTCAGACCTGCCTCTGTCATATGGGAATAATAATATTAACTTGTAGTAGAGGATGGTTCTTAAGAATTTCTCAGAGAGCCCTGTGTGCAATAGAGAACTCCCATCAAAAGTGCTATATATACTATATATATACTAAGACTGCAGCCCTATGTGTCCTTACCTGGAACTTGAAGTGAATTACCTTAAACTCAGTGGCAGTTGTTTCTGTCTAAGCCTGCATAGAATTGGTTTAGCATTGGCATTATAATGTTATTTTCTCAGTGAATACCAGATATTGATCAGATATAAAGGAGGTAAATTTCTCAGGCCATGCAGATAATGGGTTTTCCACCCAACTTGCCATTTTTCCTTTGGCCATTCAAGATATTCAAGGACATCCCAGTAAGCTGACATGTCTTGAATCACAAAAAAGATAAATAAAATGTAAGGGGTCCTACAAATGTTGGTCCATAAGAAAAATCCCAAAATCCACACTTACTGAAGTGATTATTGAGAGATCCTGGTATCATACTACTAGACCAAATAGTATCTTCATTTTTTTATGATGATTGTGTTATTTTCTCATTTCTACCTCATGGTTGGAGACAACAGGGATTTTCTTGTTTTTGGGGACAATGGGAGGCATGATAAGGATAGAACCACTGGAAAGCCATAAGCCATGCAGATGGAAGCCATTAGTGCCTTTCCTTCTACCTCCACAAAGCAGCATTCCTTATATGCAGCTGCAATGCTGCCTACTATTTCTATTTGATATGTATTAGATTTTATATCTCACTTTTCCTACAATGGGTTCAGAGCAGCATGTTAACCTCACAACAATCTTGTGATGTAAGAGAGGCTCACAGTGGAAACCTGCTGGCAAGCTCTGACGTCTCATTGAGTTCCACAGGGCTTACTCTGAGGACAGCTTGTATAGGATTGCAGTGTGAGGGATGGTGACTTGCTGCAGCCACTCAGAGAGCTTAATGACTGAGCTAAGGACCTGAATCCAGGATTTCCATTTCCAGATATTACACTCTAGCCAGGGCCCCACCATGTTGGCTATCAGTAGGAGTAGCCACCTCATAGTTGCCCATTGTGGAGTGTTGGCATTTTCCAGCGGCTGAACCATTGGCTGAAATATTGTGAGTCTGGAGTTCATATCCCAGCATTGCCCTTAAGAGTCACATGCATATAGTCTCATGTAAACATCCTTTGTTAACTTATCTTTGAAATGGGAATAATGATGGCCAACCCTGCAGGCCTACAGTAATAATGAAGGAAATGTAGTGATGGCACAGGGTTGTGGTGGTGCGAAAATGAAATTAGAATCACGAAGGACTTCTGTACGCCATAAAGGGCTGCAGGAACAATGATTAAATGCTGCCCTTTGAAGCAAATAGAGAGCAAGCGCTTCCCTCACACATAGCCCCATAACACAGTGATTAATCACAATGGACTGTAGGGGGCCTAGGAAAAGCTGGCGGTGTATATACCAGAACCTTGCCCTGTTGCAACAACTTTTCAAACAATGGGAGAAAATAGATTTGCTTTCAAAGGGGGATTTTTTCTCACTGAGGTCAGCCTGTACTGTTGCTGTGGATGCTTCTGGCACTGTTTGTTTTGTTTCAGAATTACTCTTGTCTTGCACGCTGAACAGAGCTTGCCATCTGGGGCGAGAATTGGGTTGCGCTGCTAAAATACTAACATACCCTGTCCTGCAGCTATAGGACTAACACTCTGAAAACTCTCTATGCTTTTGATTCTAGCTTTCAGAGAATCCTATCTAGGATGACTGAGTGGGGTGGAGGTGGGGCACTATATGAATACTGGGGAATGGGGTGGCAGAGCAAGTTTGGTGTGCCATGATTTGGGTGAATTATTACTATCAACCACATCAGAGGCGGATGATTTCCTCAGAACTTATTAAAGCAGCTGCTTGCACGGGTGTGACTGTGAACACTGCAGGACGCACTTTCGTTGTTGCTTCATGCCCTCGTCAGAATTAGCAGATCAACATGCACCAAGCTCATGCGGCCTGAGTATGGCCTGGTGTTTGCTAAGGCTACTTGAGTACAGGGAGTGAGGACTGGCAGGTAGGAGTGCCAAGGTCTGCCCCTCTACTTCTACTGTGTTCTGTCACCATCACTTTGGTTGTCTCCAAGGCCCAGGCCATCTGACCTTGCCTACACAACTCACACTGCAGCTGACAATGATTCTGTTAAAAAAATAAGAGTCTGAAGCATGTTAGGCAATACCTAGAGTACAGTAGACAGTGCTGAGGAGCCTTTCTTTAAAAACTTTGAAATAACTGCTGTCTGCATTTGGGCATTTTAATGCATTACACACTCAGGCCTGAGAGTCAAATGCTGGCTGGTTCTTCGAATTCTCCTTAGGCCACAGCCCTCACTGGCTCTGTTTTGCACCCCAAATATTAAATATTTTGCCTGGCTGTAACATGTCCCTTCAACTCTGATAATGCCTCTTGCTGGCCTGGATGGGGAAGAGGAAGATTTGTGTGATGGGTGTGTAGAAACCAGCCTAGCATACGAAGGTGAAATGTAAATTTGTTCTTCTGCCACTTTTGCCTCTGATCCCACCCACCATTGCCACCTGGCCCTTGTTCAGAAGGGAATGTGGCCCTCATGCTGAAAGTGTTTACCCCACGTCTGTAATTACACAATAGCAGACCCTGGTTTACCACTGAACGCAAGTTTGGCATTCATGTTTTTGGCACAATACGTCTTGCAGAATCTTTACAATTTGAAGGGTGCACACTTAAAACATTGTAGATAATACTCCAAAATGCAATGTGTGAATTGCTCCTTTGTGAAAATAGAATCAGGGTGTGGCATTTGTTCTGGATTTATTCAATCTGGAATGAGTAGGTGGTGTTATGAGTACCTCTTGTGCTGACTCCTTGGAAATGCTGCTTGTTTTTCTGCCTGGGCCATTTGGAATTCCAGATCATTCACAGTCATTGACTCCTGTCTTTGGTAGTGCTGTTTAGATGCCAATGAGACGGAATTATTTTTCCACATCTTTCCGTTATTCCTTGCTTCTCCTCCCTCTGTGTGTGATGGTGGTGGTAGCATCCTTGGCTTACAGTAAAACAGAGGGGCTGACCCCCTTCTCACTTTTTAAAGGCAGTGGTGGGAGCTTAAGGCAAATAGGAGAAAGAGTTTGTCTTTCTAGATCTCTGTCTACATGTCCTATTTGTTCCGGCCACATGTAATCTGACAGTTGTACTTAACAAACATTCCTATGACTTTGGCAAGAATGCCGAAGCAGCTTTCTTTGGTGTAAACACAAAAGTGTAGGTGGGTGAGGGAATGACTTTCTCTGCAAGACGATTGCCATGAATCAAGAGGAAGAGAGAACAATATGGGCTGCTGAAAACCCATCCTTGATCATCAGAA